ATATCATCAAAAACACATTAATATTGACTGGAAGACTGACAGTTTTCTAATTAAAATCCAATTGAGAAAGAACTTTCGAAGCAGGCTCCGCTACTTGCTAGACTTTGAACAAATTAAAACTGGTATTCCCAAGATGTCTTTATCTAAACCTCTAAGAAACGTAAGCTGAAGTCTTCTGTAACCAGAGGTAATGAACTAGTTCTTTCAATGTACTTCTTACTTACTGAAAAATGAACTTACCAATTTGTTACTATTGTCGTCTTCCTTTCATCTTCTATTAATCTTATTCTTAAATGTTCTTCATTGTCAAATATATAAATATATGTATATAAACTACAAATCAAGTTGGTGTTTCTCCAGAGTGAATATGTATAACGAAACTCGAATCCGTTTTTTTTATTTCACCGTCTTTATATAGTATCACAGACTACTCTTTCGTATAACAACTACAAAAACTAGAAAACAGCTAAACTTAATGAAACTTAAGTTTAAAATATATAATTTTATTACAAATAAATACAAAATATACAAGTTTTGTTTTTGAATATTTTTTTTTAAAAACGATGTTATAAAATATTAAAATATGTTTATGTTAACGATAAAATTACTATAATACAATACAAAAATTCTACAGATTACAAACATACTTGCCTCGCATGTCCTGGTGGTTAGGGCGTTCGACTCACGATTCGTAGGTTTGAATCCCTTTACTAAACATATTGCTCTTTCAGTAGTGTGAGTGCTCAAATGTGACTGTCAATCCCACTGTTCGTTGGTAAAAGAGTAGCCCAGCATTGTGTGGTGGGTGATGTTGACTAACTGCCTTCCTTCCAATCTTTCAGTTATAGATTAGGGACAACTAGCACAGATGACCCTCGAGTAGCTTTGCGCGAAATTCAACAAACAGTTATTATTATTTTTTAAATGCTTTACTCACTTTGTCCTGAATAACATTAATATTTCCTTAGAGTTACCCACAGTATACTTAAAGTATTAGGTCGTCAAGAAATTAATGTCGCACTTTTTTAGATGAAAAAACCTGAACAACATATATCAAACAAAACATTATTAAATGAAATAGTCTCCATTCTTATCGATGAT